GAATGCAGTACTTTGGGACATCTTGCATTATTCCCTACTGCATCGTACACAACATCAATATTCCACTTGTACAGGATCTTTTCCTGTTTGTGTGGATACAGATTGTCCGACAGACTTGCGTCCGGCAGACTTGCGTCCAATCCCGACATCACGATCAAAGTCCGATCGCACGTGTCGAAAGCCTTGTACTTGAATATGTTGGCTAAAACAGCCAGTCTGGTCCTCAAAAATGTGACAAGCTGGTTCTGACCCAGCTACCGGTATATCCTATCTATTTGTCACGCCTGAAGACCACTTTTAATCTGGATTTTCCACAAGTACTTTGTTAGTCCCAACAGTACTTCATTAGTTCTTACACGCGCACGTGAATTCCCAACAGAATAGTTTCTTTTGGAACGTAAAAACTCATATTTCGTCATATCCCAACAGCGATCCACCATATGAATAAATCGGCAATAGTCGCAAAGGTCGTAGAGCATGATTTTCTGGGCTTGGTTGATTGAAAACGTAGTCTCAGGAACATTTCCTGGATCAATCACAGTGCGATTGATTTGTTTCACCAAGGAATCAATATTTTCGCGCGTCGAGCGGGCAAAGAAAGCAGGGGAACTGAAGCCCTGTTCAATAACAATCTCTTGTGCCTCATCCTGAGAAAAATTGAGAACATCTCAAACGTAGTTCCTCCATGCAATTCTCGCAGTGGCCATCTTTCAATGTCTTTCATGTTGTTGTAAAAATAACACGGCACAAATTTCAATATTTTCGTTTCGCCAGTTGTTTTTCAGTTTCTGATCGGAGCCGTTTAATGCAATTTTGCACAACTACGTCAATGTGAGATCTTAATCAAAAGAATCGCACTACAAATAATTATATACGGAGTCCTGGGTACGTCTACTGAAAACCACGGATCCTTTGACAATGGGCGATCCAACCTATGCCGGTCGTCCACAAACTTTGGAGACCAGATATTATTTCAGAAAGCCTTCTCAAGCTTTAGCTCACAACAAAGAGCTTTCTGGGTCTGATAAACCGTTAAAATGCGCTGCTAGTCAGCCAAAACAGATCAATCACTGGAACAGAAAATTTGGGGGGTTCAGGCCAATACTCACGGTCAACAAATCCGAAAACGAATTCCAAAATACCGTATGTAAATTATGTACTAACGTACAAACCCTACCAACCTTCACTGAAGCCTCAAATTCGTAATCCGTTGGAAGCTGAAAATGTTCCCGATTCGTCAACAAACGGATTCCAACAAAACTCTAGGATCCAAGTCATCATGGGCAATACCCAACCCTATGGCCCTCCAACAAGGCTGATAAGCTGTGTTGATCCAACTAGTCCTACCTCAAGCACCTAGAGGAAGTGAAAGCCAGCCCCTTGTTTTCAAAATGGAGTGACACAGCCAAACATTGCACTGGCAAGAGATCTCATGCACCCACTGAGCTGTTACTTCTGGGGACTCTTCGGTATCTCTGACGTGGGTGGACACTGGATGATCTTGAGGAATCAACATCAATCTCAGAAGAAACCCACCAACGCTTTCTCCATGTTTATCATCATTGGGGTTCAACAGCTCTGTACCGCAAATATGTGTACCTTCCTGCCACATCAGAAGACGTTCGAGGAAGGTGCTCCAAAGAATATGCAAGGGCAGGTTTCAATGGTTGTGTTGGAAGTGGTGATGCCACCCACATTGGCACGCTGAGATATTTTTACCGGCTGAGGAATCACCATGATTCCTTCGAGCTTCCAATGCCCACACAGACACATAACATGACAGTCAACCACCGCCGGCGCATTCTCTCAACTACTAAAGGTCACCCTGGTAGATGGTCGGACAAGACCTTGATCCGCTTTGACGAACTTGCCAATCAACTCAGAAAGGGTGAACGGTATGGGGACCTCATTTTCACTCTTCTTGAATTAGATGATGATGGAATTGAATGGAGGGAGGTGGAATACACAGGGGCTTGGACCATCGTTGACAACGCCTATTCCTGTACGAAGTCTCTCTATGAAAAGTTTTAGAACGAAACTGATCCAATATTTTGATATAATATGGAGGCGAAATGCGATTCAGTGGCCTTCAAGGAAAGGAGACAAGCCACCACCTGCAATCAATGTGCCAAATGAAAGATTTGTAGGTTAATGAAGAGTACTAGTAATCAACGGTTAAATAATTATGGTGTGGTGCTTATGGTTTAGGTCACAATCTCTTTGTTATTATGGCGCGGTTGAAAGCTGTCAGGAAGAGGTGAAGTACAAAGATGAAGGAGACAAGTTCAAAGTAGTATCCAAAAGAGAAAAAAGAGGTATCTTGGTGGATTCTGATTGGTCTGATTCATGCTTGATTGGTCCGATTCATTCATGTTTCGTTTTCGCAATCCGTCAACCGAGAGTTTGACGTGTTTTGGCCAGAAAAACGAATTGCAAAAAGTGTGCGAAAAACGCGCAAGGGCCGAATCCGTTTTCGGATTTGTTGACCGTGAGTATTGGCCTCAGGTGGCTATCTTGGGGGTAAAGAAAAAAAGGAAAAAGGAGAGGGAAAAAAAGAAGAGGGGAGATTCCGTTTTCCACCTCGTGTTCTCATATCATATTCGATCCTTCGTGACTGTAGAAAAACGAATGGATGCTTATTAGGGGGGCGATCAAGAAAACATAGAGAAATAATAAATTTAGCAGGGGGTTGACACGGGGGTTCTGTTGATAAGACATGTCTTTTTATATACGCAAAAGACATTCTTCAAGACTCGCAAGATGGTAGCTTGATTGACCAATCATCTGTTGTTCTTGAACTCCCAGTTCAATATTTTTGACTACATGGAACAAAACGAAGTTGAATGCGTGAAGTAGCTCAGCCAATCAGAAATCCCGCAAGCTAAACCCTTTAAACTTCTCTCCAGTTCTCCAAAAAACTAATTGAAACAGGACATCACTCCAACATAGAATGGTTGTCAGTCCATAGTAGAATAATTGAACACAGGGAAAAAGCAGATGGAGCAAATACTAATAGTGCTACTACTATAACAAATCAATCATTTTGATACTGCATCTAGCATTTTAATTCTCCCAATACTTGTAACCCTGCGCCTTTGGGCACCATTGATCGTGAGGTGGTCTCCCGAACACTGCACCAGACTTGGATCGCTCAAGGTACCCTGCAAATCTTGTGCAATTGAAAGGGTAATTTGGAAAGCATCTGGACTTGCAAACAGTCCGGTTATATTGCGCAGATTTATTCGTGAAAAAGGCAAATGGATTTGGAGTCAAGGCAAATTGATTTGGAGTAAAAAAAACACTGGCCGTTGCAGCATGAACAGGATTGAAAGTTGGATTGTTGGAAGCACAGGAGGTGAAATGGCCTGACATTGCAATAATGTGCTGTGATCTGCTGCTTGTTGTTGCATATGCTGCTGGGGTAAAGGCTGTGCAGCTGATCGATCGACCACTCGGGCAATACCACTCCTCCTCCTGGCAACACTTGTTGTTTGAGGCGATTCGTACTTGTCCTTGCAGTCGTCGCAAAGACAAACCTTAGTTGAAGCAACAACTCCCTCTTGTTTCTTTCTTTCCATTTGGTCGGTGCAGTAATCGGAAAAGAAAACTTCCTTCTCGTTTCCAACCTCTGGAACTTGGCACTCTTTGAACAAGGCACCAAAACCAAGCAATGTAGATTGTTGGTTCAAATGGTCTAGTAGGGAATGGTCCATGAAAATAGGCGTTCGGTCCATGTATTCTGGATGCCGTAATCTATAACCTTGTTGTTGGCGTTGCACCATGCAGTCATATCTCCACCTCGCACCGACGTTGTGCTCAGCCGTACCTCGGGCAATGAGAGCATTAGCAAACTCCAATTTGCAACCAATATTTGCAAAATGGGCCAATAGTTCATGAAACTTCTCCAAGCTTGACTCAGCTCTTGAGCTTCTCCATTCGGTCAGCCCATGCTCCGCACTTGACTTCACTCAACAGTAGGTGGCTGCACCTTCATGATCCAATAGGTATGGAACCTTTAAAAACTGTTCTCTGGTTGTGTCCTCTGTCTTGTATGTGAAGACCTTTCGATCGCTATCGTCACTGACATCAATCCATGCTTTCAGCCAGTCATTCAAATTTTCAATGATATTTTCTGCCAAATGGAACTCCTTTCTTAACCACTTGTCATACCGTTGCTTGAACACCTTGGAAAAGCGCATGTCACTTAGCTCGTCCATTGACAACTTTTCTCCAAGCAAACCATTGGTCACTGCCCCAACAAGTGCTGCCCAATCATCTTTGTTGTAGTTGCAAATACAATCTTTCAACTGAACAAGACACGGCCAGAAATGTTCACTCTTTGAATCAAGGGTGTCAACCATACGGCCCAGAAAGTGAAACAGCCCAAGGCGGCACTTGACTCCCTCCCCAAGAGTTGCATCCCAAAATTGAACTCCATGCGGTATTGTGTCGGTTGTCAGTACCGATACATTCTTCAGTCGAGGCGCTGCTTGTGTCAATCCATGGGATACATCACTCAACTTTGTCGTTGGAACAGCGTATATGCCACCAATTTCACCAGTTCTTCCATTGTTGAAATGTGCAAAACACTTCATGCCAATCGATTTTTTGTCTCTATATGCCCTTGTCGCGGCAAAGGTGTGATCAAAGGCTGCTGTATCACCACTTTCAAATCTAACAGACCGAATCTCTTGAGTGTAGCGCAAGACATTTGAATAACTGTAGGGTTGCAGTGAAGAATATTCTGCCTGTTGGTAGAGCCGCCGAATATTGTCGCCATTAGGCGGCCACTTGTTGTTCATGTAGCTGTAGAAGTCTGGAAAAGGTTGACTTGGCTTCTGACTCAGGTAAGTTCTTGCCTTTTCCAGATATCTATTTGCCATAGCACGAACCAGGAAAAGACTGCACTGCTCGCCATTTGCATACGTCTTGAGGATGTGCTCAAAAAAGGCAATTCCATTTTTGTGGAGGTGAAATCCGCCTTCACTTGTGGCATACCTTGGTGGAAAAGGGTAGGCTGCAGCAACATGAGCTGGCAGCATTTGTAGCAGTCGACCTTCATTTGCATCAACTAGCTCCTTGCACTTGAGACATGTATATTTAATGATAACCGCCCATGTGATGGCACCATCATGTCTCCAAATTGGAAATAGACTTCCTGGATTCTTTTTGAAATTCCTTTGAGTATGGACCAAAGAACCGCGGGAGCACGTTGGACATGGCAAACGGAGGTTCGGAAAAGCAAGCTGCCAGTCAACATGTAGGATTTCTTCCCCTGAAAGGCAATGATATGTTGGGCTTGGACTGTAGCTTGTGACTTGTGGAAATGTAAAGGATGTGCTCCCAAGCGGAAAGTATGCATTGTATGCTGTCATTGCGGTACAAAAACCTTTAGTTTGCGGAAGGACAGAGTCCGCAGACTGGGGGCGCCGGTGCTCAAACTGAGAAATAATTAGATCAGTTGCAAGAATCACTCTTGGTGGTGCTTGTCGACCCAAGGCCCAAGATGGCTTTTTGTTGCGCTCCAACTCATCCATTCTTT